TTTTCAGCACACACCATAGTGTCATAGTGTTTGATTTCATAAGAACATGCACATGAAGTTCCTGCTTTCAGGAAGCTTATTTGTTTACTGTTCACTTGTTTAGTCATCAAATGTTTTTGGAGCACCTATTATATTCCAAGCACTTTGACACATGTTGGCAATAAGAAAGGCAGACATAATTGCTGATTCCCCAAAACTTACACTCTAGTAACAGTAGCAGGAGAATAGAATGCAGCTTATGTCTATAGCAGAGATAGTGGACATAATATGCAACATGCCTGGCTAGATGTGTGGAAACACATAGAAATAGCATCATTGTGAGCCAGAGAAACATTCAGAAAATTGATTAGATTTTTTTGAATGACAAGCAGAAACTAGGAACTAGCTAGGACCTAGAAGGGAAGACTTATCCAGATAAAAGAAATAGGTATAGGAAAGTTGAATGTTGAAGGCTTGAGAAACAGTTTTGTAATATTACCTGGAGGCAAAATTCAAAGCATTAAGTATGTAATTAGAAGTGGTACAGATGAAGCTGGAGAAGGGATATGAGGTAAACTGCAAAGCCACTTGCAAGCCATATTACAGAATTGAACTGTATCCTGAGAATACTGGGAAAGACAACAATGGTTCTAAGCCAGGAGTAGCCCAAGTATATTGGTGTAGAACATTATTTTGACTGTTGTGCTGAGATTGGACTAGAAAGAAACATAATTTGAGCACTCAGTTCTAAGTAGAACTTTCTGTAATGAATCAGATCAAAGATGATGATGATCTCAACTAAGGAAGTGATCATTGTATAAATTTTAGATACAGTCAAGCAAGAGGAATGTTAGGACTTGGTGAAAGACTGAGTAATGGCAGATTAGATGTATTAGGAAAGGAAGTTATAGGAGCCACTCTTGGCTAATGAGATAGAAGATAACATAGTTTACTAAAATGGAGAACACAGAAGGAACAGGTGGGACAAGGTATCCAAAGAATTCAGTTTGGAACATGTTGTGTTTGATGCATCTAGAAGTCATTTGGAAATGCAAGAGAGAGATCTGTGATAGTGATACAGACACAAAGACTTACCAACACTTTGGCCAGATATACCTTACCTGGAGTAATAGAGGGATGGAGGTACTGTGGACCACTGTAGGTAACGAAGAATCTCCGCATCTCACAAAAATGGTTTCAAGTTTTTGAGCTTATTTTATATGTGTTTTCTTAGAAGTGGAGGACAGATCATTCAAATTTACTTTGAAAAATGTGCAGTTCAGAAGATGGACCACAGAAGGAAATTGATGAGACAATCTAGATAAGAACGCCCAGAGAGAGAAGGAGTGTGCCAATCGTGCTGGGGCAGAACCCAAAGCACAACACATAGAGAAAGTAAGCAGAAGAGAGTCTTGAAAATGACCTTGAGCATCCAACGGGGAGAGTGTCAGGGCAAAGGGAGTGGTCTTCAGAGTCAGTGCCCCAAGGGGTCAAATAAAGAAAGGAAAAGTATCTACTGGATTTTCAACAAGGATATCATGGGTGATCCTGGCAAGAGAGGTTATGATCGGGGGGTGGTCATTTGATGCACTGATTAAGCCTCCATTTGGGACACTGCATTCTGCATCAGAGTATCTGAGATTGATTCTCAGCCCTGCTTCCAGTTCCAGCTTCCTGCTGATGTGTGCCCTGGGAGGCAGCAGGTGACAGCTCAAGTACTTGAGTCCCTATCACCTATGGCGGGGACACAGTATGATTTCCAGGTTCCCAACTTTGGTCAGACCCAGCTTCAACTGTTGTAGGCATTTGGGGAGTGAGCCATCAGAAGAAAGATCTCTACCTCACTCTGTGTTTCTCTCTCTCTGTTTCCCCACCTTTCAAATAAAAATACATACATAAATAATTTTTCTTTAAAAAAAGAAGCTGTGATGAGGCTTGTGCTGTGGTGTAGTGGGTAAAGCTGCCGCCTTTGATATTGGCACCCTATATGGTCGCTGGTTTGAGTCCTGACTGCTCCACTTCCAATCCAGGTCTCTGCTGATGTGCCTGGGAGGACAATGGAGGATGGCCTGAGTGCTTGGGCCTCCTGGGAGACCAGGAGGAATCTCCTGGCTCCTGGCTCCTAGCTCCTCGCTCCTGGCTTTTGCCTGGGTCAGCCCCAGCTGTTGCAGCCATTTAGGGAGTGAACTGGTGGATAGAGGCTCTCTCTCTCCCTCTCCCTCTCTCTCTCTCCCTCTTCCTCTCTGTAATTTTGACGTTTAAGTAGATCGATAAATCTTTTAAAACTATATAAAAAATTAAAAAGAAGTTGTGGTCAATTGGAAAGAGTGAGTGGAAGATAAGCAAATGAAGATGGCAAGTATAGCAAACTCAAGAAGGAAAAGGAGAAAGTTAAGGAAGTAGCTAGAGTAAAAGACCAGGTACAGGTAGATATTTTCCCCCTTGAGATGTCAGAGAATTATTCAATGAGTAAAGAATTTTAATAGCACAGAGCCTACATAGCAATGAGCCAAACAAAACACACAGAATCACTGAGGAAATCAGAATAATAGAGCTCAGAGTGTCTATAGGGGACAGGACAGATTGAATTGAGTTGAGACTTCAGTGATTAATAAGCTTTTGGACAGGTGAGAATGAGCCATTGATTGGAAGAAATCTGAGAAAAATAAAACTAAAGAATCATCCATTCTCCTTTCACCTCCTTTTGTTATTCAAAATGAAACTGTTTTCCCAGCTAACATAATGTCTTTCGAATAGAAATTGCCTGTAACTCAGAGAATGACTACAAATATGAAGGTAATAAGAGTTATAAGATATACAATCCAATTTACAGTTACTACCTGCCTTCTTAGTCTTCACACATGCATCTAGCATATGCTTTGAGGTCACATTGTTCACTTCCTCATTTAGAATTTTTAACACTAGATAGGGTGTTAAATCAGTATAAGCTGGTGCTTCTATCACTTAGGTTTCAAACATCCTCCTTTTGTATAAACACACCCATAAATAAAGGTGCTAATATGCAAGGAGAAAGTTCCATTAATAAGCAGCCCAGCACAAATAACTGCCTACATGGAGGAGGTGGTTATAGGACATGGCTCATAATTAAGCAGAATTTAACTAAATTATTTTTTCGCTTGCCTTTTTCCTTAGGATTTATTTATTTGCTTGAAAGTCAGAGTTACAGAGAGAGGAGAGACAGAGAAAGGGATCTTCCATCCACTAGTTCACACCCCAAATGGCCTAGCCAAGCCAAAGCCTGGAGCTTCTTCCAGGTCTCCTACGTGAGTGCAGGGGCCCAAGGACCTGGGCCACCTTCTGCTGCTCTCCCAGACACATTAGAAGGGAGCTGGATGGGAAATGAAGCAGCTGGGACTGGAACCAGCACTGCAGGTGGCAGCTTAAAACACTGCACCACAGCAGGAGCCCCTCTCTTACCTTTTTAAAAGACTATACAAATGGTAATTTTCAAAGCTGATATTTGCATGTCTAAGTTAAATAGATATTGTTTAAATAGTAGCCTTTCAGTTTATTATACTTCCTAAGTACACAGAGGGCAGAGTGTAGCTTAAAGTCTTAACAGATTGTAGTAGATCCCTAAGGAGGCTGATGCTTAGTGGTTCCAGAGAGGTTTGAATGGGTGGCAAATGAATTAAGAACTACACTGTTTAGTTACAAGGGAGGCTGGCAGCTTTCAGCACTACTATTTGCCTGAGCCTTTATCATGAGATGCAAACAGACTGTTGCACAAAAGAGAAACTTTGCCATTGCTATACAGCCATTGTAGAAATCAACATCGTTTCAAAAAATCTCATGCTCCTTTCTAAGACAGAATATTCTCTTTTTCTCAGTTCATGACATCTACTCACAGTATTTTTGTTTGTTTTTTTAAGAAACTTGAGTCTATTTGTGTGTGTGTGTCCAGACTTATTTTCACACACACATGCACACACACACTTAATGTTTCCAGGTTCAGATGAATCGGTACTTTATCCTCTGGCCTGGGTGCCCAGGGCTTCCCTTTTGCATAGACCCTTTCTTCCCAAACACATTATCCTGACTTCTGGTCATGGTCATTATATCAACTTAGATTTTACCTTTCCTGGGTTCTGTGGCCCAATCTCAGTGTGGTGCAATGTATAACCTGCTTCCTCAACAAACACCAAGCTGGCCTCTGCAGTTTTGTAGTCAGAGATTTCAGATACAGAAATGGATTTTTGTGGAAATTGCATATTCCAGTGTTGCCGCTCATATATCACAGCTTTATTCACAGGCAGCAAATGCTGGGTCCTTTGCTAATGGCTTCAAGCCTCTGCCACACATGGTTTTCATATTTTCTAGAAGTCTAAGTATCCTTTATCAGAGTCATTTGGCCTGTTTCTAAGAGACCTCTATGATTGCCATATTTTCTATAAATGGGAAGTCTCCCCTCACTCTGGGGGGGAGGGCTGGCTGGGGAAATTCTTCCCCTTTAAGAGAATGTCATTTAGATCCCAGAAAGAGAGCACCTGAGGATAGATAGCCTCTTCGGTCTACAAGCCTGAGCAGCAGATTGTTTTAATGGTTATCTTCATTCTTCAATGAGTAAGAATTGTCCTAATGATGTAAAACCAAAAAGGAAGAGAACACTGTTCTTCAAACCCAGATAAATGGTCTTAGGTTTGAGAAGATCACAGGAAAACCACTCACTAGTGGCAATATTTTGGATACCTGTTGGGAAACCCTTAGTTTGAGGGCACAGTTGTCCAGGGGAGCAATCAGGCCTCTGCTGGTACTGGGCTTCCTTAAAGTGCAGAGTGAGGACAGGCAAGTTGCCCTGTGAGAGCTCCCACCCCCTGGCACTCAATATAAAGATTCCCAAGGCCTGCTAATCTGCATTTTAATGGATGCCTCTGTGTAGGAATTAGGCACTGAGCAATTGACTTTGAGAGCCACAACCCCAGGAGGTAGACTAGTAAAGCCTCAGTGGTCATTAAGACCAACATGACTGACAATGACCTCTTTGTCTCTCCTCTGCCTAGGTGCAAGTGTAATCTCCATGCCACAGTGTGTGTGTATGACAACAGCAAACTGACATGTGAATGTGAGCACAACACTACAGGCCCAGACTGTGGGAAATGCAAGAAGAATTATCAGGGCCGACCTTGGAGTCCAGGCTCGTATCTCCCCATCCCCAAAGGCACTGCAAATACCTGTGAGTAACTTTGTTTGGTAATGCCACCATCTTCTGTGCACCATGAGCTGATAGTTCCTCTCAATTTCATTGCCATTTGTGACTCTACTCCTCTTAGAAATTATCTGATTGCTCTTCAAAGTGCAGCTAAAGTTGTAGTCCCTTATTTGCCCACCCATCAGCGTGTCATCATCTTAAATTCACTCTTCCAACACACATTAAATGAGTTGAGAAATTATTCTTGGGATCACAGAAGCAACTTTTTCTAAATGGGTGGAACAGGTGGGTGATCTAATTTCTTCCCCAATTTAATTTCTTATTAACATACCCAGGGCCTTGAAAACTCTCAACCCTAACTTGCTTTTATCCATAAACAATTTCCAGGAATTCTTTGAATATTTACAATCCCATTTTCCAATGCTGAGGAACACAAGAAACATCTAGTCCAAAAGGTATTTCCTTCTCCAAGTTGACCGAGGTCTTCCCTTTTCCTAGCGAAATGAATGGATTTTTCCAAACTCCAGCCATTCCGGCAAGCCTGCCATGGATTCTGGGAGTAAGGCCATCTGCAGTCAAACAGAATGATTGTGGCTGATGGACACTAGATTAAGAAAAAGAGATTTTGTGTCTATGTGAAAGACCACAGGCAATTCTCTATGTTTAAAGGAGCCATATGAGATGCCCCATTGCCACACAGATGTGCCCCACTGAAATTCCTGAGGAACATAGGAAAAGAAGCTCTGATATAATCAAAAAGTGATTATTTCCAGAATAAATTGTCCAATTTCATAGATGGATCAACTAGCCACCTACAAAAACCCAACATTAGCCCTCTCTAGAGAGCAGAGAGATGGTCGGTCTAGAATAGACCTATTCACACAGGAGGAACAGAAGCAGCACAACAGTTAGCACAGGAGAGAGAGAACTTGAAAAGCCAGTGGCTCTTCGCAAGGCTAAGAATGTTATCAGGCCTTTCAAAGCAGCAGCTGTGAGAAACTAAACTTAAAACTAATATCACAGGTACCAGGACCTTATCAAGTTAAAATGTAAGAGTAATGGACCAAGTAACAAGCCGTGAAGTGTGGGGCATGAAATTATGATAAAATTTCTATGAAGCAGAAAAAATCCTACCAATGGTTTTTTTAAAAAATCTCTTTGTAAGGCCATTCAGCTCTGTGTTACAGAAAAAAAAAAGACTTCTCTTTCCTAAAATTAATACATTAAAGCTCTGTTGAATAGATACTTGGTTTTTTTGGGATGATTTTATTAATAGAGACTTTCTCAGGCCTTCCTCAATTGTTGAGAGTCACAGACTCATGAATTCAGAAGGCATCTTACAAGGTTATTTGTTGCAATACCCTGTGGCTGGCTAGCTAATTACCCCTATCACCACAGTTGTCAAATTCAGTTTAAAGCTTTCCATATATGAAAATGGTTCAGATTTTATTTTCAGGGCCTGCTGCCACTTTAGTGGGACAGCATGGAAGAGAAGGCAGTTCACAAACACTTGCTGTCACCCTGGTTCATCCCTGAGGTAGGCCAACTTCAAGGCCACCAAAGAGGCAACCATGGTAGACCCAAGTTGAAGGCATTAGCTTCTGTTTTAATAGGACCTGGTTCTTCTACCCATTTGTGTGCTTCAAAATCTTTGCTTATTTCAATGTGCTTTCGTTGAGAAGACCTTGTTTCAACCAAGCTTTCTTGCTGAAATTGATCTCTTGTTATATTCTCCATGGAAGTGACTATACTCCTAGCCCTTTGCACATTGAAGATCACCAAGTTATTACCTGGACAAAGGAATGCAATATCTTATGAGTTTCCTTGTGGGCATGATTGTCTACTTGTCCCTTAGACTTTACTTACACTTTACTAACCTTTTCTAGATTTTTGGACTTTTCCATGTTCTGCTAAAATAGAAACACAATGGACCCAATGGCCAGAAGGGTTCAATTCAATAATTCAAACCTCAATATAGCATAAAGTTGATGAAAGATTGTAGAAATTGTCTGCCATGATCCAGTCTTTGCAATAGGAAAAAACTCATTTAACTAAATCTCTGACACATGGGACTATGCTTGAAAACATCCAACAGTTGAAGTCAATAACTTAGTAGTTTAGTGCACAGGTTCCAGAATCAAATCCTGGTTCCTCCATGCACTAGCAGAGTGACCTTGATAAAGTAAGCTAACTTCTCCAACACAGTTTCCCATCTGTAATGTGCAGATAATAATAGCTCTTAACTCATAGGCATTTTGAGAGGATTGAATAAGCTAATGCATGTAATATGTTTATTTAGCATAACACCTGTCACAAAATAAGTGTTCAAAAATAATTTATTTTTAGGATTTTTTTCATAAGGCAGCTTGTCCATTGTTGGACAGTTTTGCTATAAAAGTGATTTCTTAAGATTAATGTTGAGTGCTTCCTAGTTTCTATTTTTCCTTTTTATGTAATAAAAGAACTGAAATGACCCTGTTTTCGTTTATTCTCCAGTTTAATTATCATCAATTCCATTTTTCATGTGTTATTTTCATGTCTTTTATCTGGTTGCCTGCCCTGGAAGTCCTCTAATTCATTAGTGGACTTCTAATATCATTATAATTCTCAGTTCATATTCTCTCTCTCTCTCTCTCTCTCTCTCACACACACACACACACACACACACACATTCAGATGACTCTCCCTAGTGTATGTGAATCAGTTATGTAAGAAGGACGTTTAGGATATGTCATACCCTAATACAAAAATACAAACCTAAGAAGTAAAATAGGAGGGACTGTAATTGCAGAGCCTTCAAAATCAACCACTCAGTGGCCTCAAAATGTGACTCATACAGGACAACCTCTGGATTTAGCAGAATCCCAGCCAGGATTATCTTTGAATAGAAAGAGCAGTTTCTGTTCACCCCTCCCCAACCCTAAACCCCAAAGGTGGAAAGAGAACTAGGTGGGCTTCATCCATTAAAGCAGGCAAAAAAGATTCCCATCTAAAGCCACTCAGCGAACTCCTCTGAGAAGTCCCATCTGCTAAGACTTTTTGGGAGTCGTTGGACTTGAGAGGTCCTGCATTCTAGAGCAATTCAGGCCAACTTTTGTGTGGAGTATGTATAGCCAAGAGAGAAGACTGTTGAACACCAGCACTCTGAAGTACAGCCACCCAAGTCTGCAAGACACACCAAATTCTCTATCATTTTCTTGTAATAAGCTTGGAAAAGGTAGAGTATTAATTTTTGTAATAATATTTTGACCCATCATGTTTTTAATCAAGACCAAGTTTCCTTGAGCTCTGAAGAAATATACTTGTGAAAATCTTTTTCTTATTTTTCTACAAAGCTTATGTTTTGTAGAAAAGACGTCTTCCCTCTCCCTGTTGATCTTCATTCTATTTTTGATAGAATTCTACTTTGAATGCCCTTTGAATTTTGTTTCTGCCTCAAAGTCATATCAGATCTGTCGAACATCCTCAGAATCATGATCCTCTTGATTTCCATTGTCCAGCTCATAAATAAAAATATTAGGTAACATCCTTTAAACTCATATGGATACAGATGCTGAAACTTAATAATCACTGTTTAGGAACCATAACTCCAACAAAAGTAATATAATGTCTACACATCAACTTTTTAATCTGGATTCCTTGACCCTTAAAATAATTTCATGGTCAAATCATTTAGGAAAATGCTGTACACTATACTGACTCTTTGATACTCACAATACCTTTTTAAAAACACTTGAGAAGCCCTACTATAAAATAACATATTTTACCCAATGTTTCCCAGATTCATTTGTTTCATGGAACACTTAATATCTTTCTATAAAACACTCTTCTGAGGACAAGCTGGTCTAAATAATTTCTTGCAGGCTTGTTATAGAAACATCATAGAGATAGCAGAAAGCCCAGCTAGTATGTCTGTGTTCAACCTTTTACTTTTCTCTTACCTACATAGTCTAATATTCTTCAAAGAAAGAAAATTAAATTGGACTGACATTGACATTATTTGTTCAGAAATCCAACTTGAATTGTTACACAATATCTAGAGCTCCTTTGAGTGATGGAAAGTAATTTGATGCTTGTTCTATTATTTTCCCTGATATTAAATTTGCATTGACCAATTTATGTTTCCCCAGGTGTATACATGTGTGTGCCATTATTCAGACAATTTCCTAAGTGCTTTATATCCATTAGTCTGTTCTAAACTCACAACAGTCTTAGAAGGTAAATACTACCATTTTTATTTTACATACACGGAATCTTATGATTATAGAGCAAACGTATCTTCAAGGTTTGCATTACTAGTAAGAGTGAGAGGAAGTACTGCACATTGCTCTATTTTGCTTCTTAGGTTAAATTTGAGTGACTTTCTCTATCCTCCATTGGGGTTTAGGGTCCATTTCAACACCTGTTTGAACATGTCAGTCTTCTCTAAACCTGCCTTTACTCCTAGATCTGTTATTTCTGTGTCTTCAAAGGCCAACTTCTGTTCTTCCTTTAAATTGTCATGTTCCCTTACTTTGCCTATCCTCAGCCTATGGATGCTTTTCCTTGGCATTCCTATTTACTTCTGTGATTTTAGCTCTTAGGATTATTGACTTGGTAGTAATCAACCAATTCTAGCTTTAATCTTTCTAATGAACCTAGATCATCTTTTCCCAGCTGTCTATAAAGATCTCAGAGTCATCTTGCTAGATACTAAATTCATCCTTTCCTCCTAAAGCACCGTTCTATTTAATCTTTTTTGAAATTCTGTTCATTTTCATGAGTGCCTCTCAAAGCCAACTTCCCAGAGAAGTTTGCCTGGACTCCCCCATGAAAAATAAATTGCTCCTCTTTCTCTCTTATTCTAAATTATTGATCATGTATATAGAATTACAAAAATGAGTGACTATCTCCAACTAAAATTTTTATAATAATGATAGCTGGCTGGCACCACAGCTCACTTGGCTAATCCTCCACCTGCAGTACCGGAACCCCGTTCTAGTCCCGGTTGGGGTGCCGGATTCTGTCCCGGTTGCTCCCCTTCC